GGAAAGTGACCGATACACCATGGATAACTCCATGGTATTGCACCTTGGAGTTATCGATCAATCCAAGGCTATCGATGCCGCTAGGCATGGTGAAATATTCCTGTCACTTAAAGTTGAAACGAAAGGAAACCTGCGTTGAAAGGGGGGGGGGGGGGGACGTCTGAGGAAAAGATCCATAGGAAAGGCAGGAGAGAAAAATTCCTTCTGTTTCAACCGTATTACAGCATACCATTAAGGATTGGACATTTTTCGAGAAACGGAAAATTTCCTTTGATAAATTTTTGCTTTGCAGCAATTGCATATAAGACAATATGCTGAGTCCTAACAATAGTTTAATTAATTGAATATAATATCCTGTGCAAAAATCACGATGTCAAAAGTACAAATTTGATCGAAAATGCGAATTTCAGAGGACCATAGCGTTAGAATAACATGGGCAAAGCATGCAAAATTAAGCCCCCTTTTAAATACGTCATTATGATATTAACAGCATGCAAGAACTTTACGTTACGTTACTTTACGTCATGTCTGTTAATTTCATTGACACCACATTCTCATGTGATTAGAGTGTTATCTCTTGGTGCGGCAACGCATTTTTCTCGTTAGGAGGGAAATAAAATGAGCATCCCCTTTCCGTTTAGAAGAGATCACTGCGCTTCAAGAACTCTAATTCCACTGGCGAAAAAAAAGCAATTAAAAAATGGTCAGAGGATTGTTTTTCTCTGGGGAAGACAAAGGGTGCCATGCACTACATCTGTGTGCAAGAGATCCTTTTATCTTATGAACACAATAAGAGCGTAAAGGAATGAGATCCGAATCAAACACGAGCTGAAATTGATTCCCAGACGGAAATGAGTGCAGGAACTCGTGGGAAGGAACTCGATATCCGAGGAAATGAGTGAGAAAAGATTCTCGACGGCGAGCCCTATCCGACCGTTCGGCTGTTCCTCATCCACATTTTGTTTCCTGCCCTTCCAATGGTTCGACTGGACGCGAGGAGTCTCAACAAGTGAAAAGCTGAGTGAAGGCAAGGTACATAGATGGAGCTGGTAATGACACGGGCGTTTTGGACGCCATGGTAGTTCCCACTTCGCGCCCTCCTTCAGCTGGAGCTCTGGTTTCTTGCGTGCTTTAGACCTCCAAACATTTTCCTCCTTCTCCTTTAACTCTTCCATTCTCCTTTTGGACTCATCTGAATTCACTTTAATACAGGGTGGGATATAATTGAGGGAACATGGGAATCTTGCGGGGGTTTAACTTTCAGAAATTGTCTGTTTTTGCGTAAATCATCACCAACTCCACTCGTTCTCGGTAGAATACACAATTTTTACGTTTTTCAGCAGGAAACAAACTGTCGAAAACCACCTCCAAGTAACTTTCTCGACATATAGCGAAATTTTGCAAACTGAAGCTTGAAGGTCACCTACACGAGCGGCAATGGAAATTACCCATGATCACCAACAATGTTAGGCCTATGTTTAACCCACGGACTGTCATCAAGTCAGGCTTAGGCCGACCTTTCTTCCTTCAAAAGACTCACCGGGCCAATTAGGCCTATCAGGATCAACCTCTGGGTTTTCAAGACATCTTGCATCTTCATAAAGCGACATTCAGTGTTCCACCGCAACCCTGGAGAGTTGGAGCTTCAAATTTCCTGGAGCGACTCCGTTGATGGAGTGCGAAGCATATCAATCTCGTTCCTCTAGATATTTTCTGAGAGGAAAACGAAGAGGTTGAATTTGGGGGGTTGAAGAAAGGGAAAAGGCGCTACCAATGCATGCCAATTATATTAAAAAGTTGTCTGGACATGTGTCACCTCTAGCGATCGTTTTGAAAACTAAGCTCCCCCCAAAATCCTATGTTTCTTATTTTTGCCACACCCTGTATAATTTAAAGGCTGATTTCATCCCAACCATTACATTTTCCTTGCAGTCAAATGTAATTAATTTATTTTTAAAACAGATGCATCCTTTTTTTCCTGCCTCAGAATAGATGCAGTTGAATTCCTCTGAATTTTCCCAAATCGTCCATCTTATTTCATTAAATTTATTTACCATCCATAAAAAAAGACCTTAGGCCCTATCCGAAACTTATTGAATGAAGGTAGCCCGGATCCTTCAGATGGCTCGGAATTCCGCGCCATCACCACGAATCCTGCATCGTTGAAAAGTTCCCTTTCTTATCTTGATCCAGTATGCATTACAAATGTTTCAAAAGTCTCTACAAAGCAGTGAGGGAATGATGGAAGGGTCTGTTTCACCCACTCACCTTTTTTTTTTAGTATTATCCGTGATGATATCAAAGTCTCTCTAAATGAAAGGGATTCTCCATCCTCTAAAATAATAATCTTCTCCCTAAATCTTGAGTTAGTTCTGAATCCTTGAAATCAGGAAGCTGTGACAAGGTGTCAAATGAAAATAATTTGAAGACTGTGAGATTTTCAAAGAGAATATAATTTTAAAAATATAATGGATGCCATAAAAAACAAAAACAGCAAGGCAAAAAAAGGACCAAAGGACAATGATTGGAATTCCTAGAACTATCTATTCCATCTATTTACTATTCTATCTGCGACTATTTACAATCCACAGCTGCCGTCGACCCTCATCATAGGGATATGTATAAAATTAGAACCTCTGTCTGGAATTATTGAGCAATTCTGGGCGTAATAGCTCGTCATTCTTGCGATAAATGAAAAACTCAGATGAAAAGGCAAGGATGAAGCACCCGCGCGAGTGAAGGCTGACTCAGGAGTGGGAACGAACATGGCGCCCGCGCATGCTCGACGACCTGTCCAGTTGGTGTCATTACCTCTTCTATCTGGTGTATATCCCTTGGGTGGAGGCTCCTCGAGAGGAGGCGCGTGGGCGACCCACGTGGAAGAGCATGATGGATTCATTCATCAGCCTGCTGATGATCCGCTTTCATGTGGGTGAAACAAGCTTGAGCTGGAACGAGGGAGAACTTACCGTGCGAAGTGTCAATGCGTTTGTAGAAATGTATCATTGCACGTACGAGTTAGTCTAGAGATGTTCTGCATCGAGAGACAGATGAAAACCGAGAATGTGCTTGTCCAACTCGAACGCGATAGCGAAGCGATGAGATTTTTTTTAGGGGAAAGGTTTCCTTTCCTTCGAGATTCGCAAAGTCGGAGCATTCCCTCTCGAGGCGTCAAGAGGGAAAATAGGGACCGAACCCATTGTTTTTCCTTCCATCTCGCTTTCTCCCTTTTTTCCAGTCTTCACATCCGCTCACGACCAAAATACCAAAAGATCTTACCTTTCATCATGCCCTCGTTAACCATGTCGATTTTGAATCGTGCCGATTGGGGTGAAACAAGAAAACCGCGGACCATCCGCCGGGATCATGTCAAGTTTTTTCTTCACTTGTGTATACAAGGGTGAACCAAAAGTCACGTTCGGATCGGATATATTTCAAGGTATCTCGCAAAAAGTTCATGATTTTAAATAATTTTTACTGTCTGGAACGTTCAGACTATTCCCCATTGACCGCTCATTTATCCATGATGCTCAAGAGAGTCATGGCCACAGACGCAAGTGCTTTCAACCATCATATTCATCCACACAGAAACTATTGCTTTTTAAACTATGCTTATTTTAATATGTTATGTTGTCTGCTAAAGTAAATTAGGCTTAGTACAGTTTATGTTAAATACTGTTCATCCGATTGTGACTTTTGGAGCACCCAGTGAATAAAAATAACATCGATTGCAGGTGCATATCCCTGTTTGCTCATCTTGTCGAGATTGTTCTAGGATAATTTTTCAATAAGAGAGGGACGGTTTATGATTTCGACTGGGACAGTTCACGTCGATCATGTTTTGCTTATAAGGCATGTCGACTTTCACACGCGTGCAAGTTAGGATTCTTTCTGGAGAAATCATCGTAGCATCTGGTGGCGCATAAGCGGGTTGTCCGAAGCAAAGAAGAAACAGGAAAAGTGGATCTCGACATTTCGGTGTCGTGTGTGGAGTTAGCAAAATCGGAAACTGATATCGTTTTTATCTTAGTTACTCTCGTTTCCATAAATGACAATTCAGCTCGGGTGATCGAGCGATGAGCTCGGGTGGTTGTGCCTCCGACTGGAAATTTTCTCGAAAAAAAAATCAAGCACGGTGATGTCCCGGTTTACGAAAATTTTCAACGGTCTCAATCGATCGGTTCTCGAGCATGAAAGTGCATGACTTGCATGCCCTAAGCGCACGGGACTGCACAGCACTCAAATCATTTATAAGGGTTGCGCAGGATTTCCGCCAAATAGCTTCGACCTGCAACAACAGGCCCATGCCAGAATGCTTGGAAGACATTCAGATCCCTGCTGTTCACATATTGGAGTAGGGCGGTCCGTCGCCTCATCGGCACCGTCTCTGAATTCAGTTCCTCCCGCTCGCTTAGTCGACGCTTATTTATCGAGATCATGTGGTCTTCTACCTTCTCTACGTCCATGTGTTCAAGCAGTTCCTTCCAGTGCCTGCTGATTGCATCTCGACACGACTGTTGTTGTTCTTTCCTCTTTGAGTATAGTGCTTTCTACGCCTCCCTCTATAAATAGATAAATCGTGACATTTTTCTAACGCATAACCTACACTCACATCACTTCATATCTTCGAACTTCAAGTTGTCTCACCTCCAAATCGGCTGGGGGACAAAGAATGCTTTCTTTTTGGATCGTCGAATAATGGTGGGACACATGGAATAACTGATTCCATTTGAAACTGTTGCTGGCTATTGCTATATACTGTTCCATCTTGCAAGACGATGACGGAAGTCCCATGATCTTCGAAGACCGTTTCATCGCACGCAAAGTTAGCAAATGAATTAATGTTTGCAACCTTGAATTATGATGTGAGAGGACGATGTCCTATTCCTTGTGTTTTACCTTTGTCAGGAAATCCAGTTCTTCATAGCCATCGATGAGCATCATCGTTCTCTGTGTCCACTTTTAAAGGGAAGGACGATGAAAATAGACGAGGAACTTCAGCGGCAAGCAAGCAGAAGGAACCGCACACATGAGAAGCGCTGAGAAGGATGCAGAGGTGGAAGTCCATTCCTTGACCATCGGGTGCCATCCATGTGAGAAACCCTGTCTCTTCGTGATTCTGAAGTTGTTACAAGAGAGAATTGGAAGCTTCACCGTCGACGAGGAGAGCGAAAGTAGTTTTCTTCATTTCTTCTTTGTGTGTGATCTTCCACCGCCCATCCAATTCTAGTGCTTCTGGTGGATTCAGGTGGCAACTCGTTCGTGGCCCGGTGGAGAGGGTCGCTGTGGACCATGATGATCGGGTCCATGGCATCATGGGTGGAAGAGGCTGACGGTTATAGCCGGAGAAGATGGTTGAAGGTAAGTTAGGGGTGTGGGTGACTGTGTTGATAGCTGAGGGTGAGACTGGGTGGAGGGCTAGGAGGACGCGGACGAAGTGACGAACTGATGGCAGAGAACGTCCTTGGCCCCTTCTTCTGTCGTCTGTCTGACAAGAGCAGAGAAAAGACGAACGAGATCCAGATTTCCGTTACTCATTTCCAAAACCAATATCTGAACTGAGAATAGCTCTGGAAATTAACCAACCTGCTGAACGGAAGATCTTTCTCAGGAGGAACGAGGATCTTTCTCTTGCTCTTGCCAGTCCGGAGGTTCCTCTCCGATGAGTCTCTCGACTTCTCGGTTTCTGTCAATCGTTTGCGATTGCGGCTCATTCCCAAGGCTGCTTCCTTCTCTGTTCTTAATTTCTGTAACGTCATGAAATATTCGTGGAACCTGTGAACGACATGCGCAGGGGACGACACAAAGGAAGTAACTTTCTTAATATTGGCTCTCACGTCGACAGGGGAAAAGGTAATGGAACATTTATGCTGCTTTTTCTTCATGCTGCTCTTGTGTTCGGAATTTGACATGCAGCTCAGTTTCTACGATTCATGCTGACCCATCCTGGTCCTGTTCTCGTCCCAGATTCAAGGACATAAATTTATGTAACATGGGGTTATTGGCATGCGAAAAAATCCTCTATTCTAATATTTTTTCATAAAAAAGGCAATCGACAAAAATATCTGTAAAATTTCGCGGTTATTGTAAGTTGAAAAGGTCTCGTAATTCCCGTAAGGTAGGCACAAAGTCTCTCATATCCCTGACGATAACTCGCGGGATCGAAGTCGAATCAACATATTCAGGCAATTTTCCGGCATGTCCATTCCACAAGGAACTCAAGAAATTGTTGCAATTGTAAGAGTGATTTCACGAAACGCTGATGCGCGAGCCCCACTCCCAGTTTTGGTTTCCTAACTCGATTCATTCTAACGTTGCATTTAAAATTGCATATTTTTTGCATTTTCTTTGCATGTTTTTCGCCTCTTCCCAGACTTCAGATGAAGACCTTTGTGTCGCTCCAACTAGATTAATTCAGCAGTCCCTTTCCACGACTCCATTTTGCGGGTTTTCGTTACGGCTCAAAAAAATTCTTCAAGGGCTTGGTAGGGAAGACAGCCGGCGGGGGAAGGCAGGGTTGCCCCAGGCTCACCTGGGCTGGCTGATGACTCCCAGTGGCCGAAACAGGCTTACCGTGGGAGCCATGAGCGACAGCGCGATTGCATGCACTGACTGCTCTTCATTTAAGAAGCATCCCGAAAGCCAAGGGCAGCTGGAATGTTGCCTCGATTTAGGGTCACCGGTGTCCATCTGCAGTCCCTCAGCTCGTTTTTATGGCAAAATAGAAGCCGAAATGTGGGGAAGAGTGCCTTTGGTAGCTTAGGCGCTAGTCGGCTGTTGGCTTTTAAGAAAATTTCGGCAGCGATCGTTATCAACACGCTGCCGGGAGCGAAATTAAACACGCCTAGGGGGCAGGACACTTGCTTGATGCAACAAGCGCTGTTATCCGCTCATTTAGCGCAAGAACCTACTTAAAAAGAAAAGAAGGTGGGGGAAAAAGGTCTTTGTAATTAAACGAAACGAGGACCCATCGATTCAAAGGTTACTTTTCGCCTCACCTTGGTGAAGACGCAGGGGACTGCTTTGGTCGTAGGGAGGCGGAGGCCGCGGGTGTAGTCCGGCGGTGGACAGGGACATGGCACAATCCATCCGCCCCGACTTCTCGCCTCTTTCCGCGTCCGAGGTTTCACTCCGGCTCCGATGCCCTGAAATTCCCATCAGTGCTTTGAAATGTTACATAAGTACGCCGTCTCTCGTGGAGGAGGACCTGTGGACGAGCGAAATCGGACACGACGGATATCTGATCGAGAATTTTTTTTTTTCACTTACAAAGCCAGACTGCGATGAGAAGGCAGCAGACGACGACAATCGGAACGATTATTTTTAAGTTCACCCCTAAACAAAGCATTCCGGTTTCTTCGGAGTCCAAGTCGCTGGTATGAGTGGGATCCCACTGATCCAGATGATCTGAATCCAGATTAGATTCTTGGATCCGCAGACACACTTCCGAGTGTCTCCCTCCCGACCAATCCTCCTCGAAGAAACTTATTTCGAAGGGGAAAAAAGGTCACACATTGAGGTACATCGACGGTACGAGATACACCGAACCGGAAAACCCTCACCCGTCCAGGCATCCCCCGCATTCCAGATGCGAAGTGGGACAAGAATATTCTCCAACTTCCCTGTTGAAAAGCCTCTCGCAAAAATCCTCAGCATTCTCGCATAAGCGCCTTCCCACCGTCATCCCCACCTACGGACACCAACGAAACGCCGTGGATCACAGGCACAGACGGCAAATGTTCATTCCACTCGACGTGTAGAAACGGACTGGCAAAGCGCTAGCGTTCTTTGTCAACGGGTTTTGTCATTCTTGTGTAAACAAGAGGGAGATGATGCTTGAGAAAAGAAGAGCGGGAAATCCTGACTCGGTTCTAAGAATGACGACTCTGGCCTAATAAATTATTCAATCAACATTGATTCAACATTGAGACAATGTTGATATAATTTCATTTGCTATCCGTTTAGATACTTCTACAGTGCGAAATTTTCATTCAGTGTATGAATGAATTGAATGATGTTATCATGCAATAGATTTGATCGTGTGCTTGCGACCCTGAAGAAAAACAATCGGAGGGGGGGGGGGAGAGGACAAAAACATGGTCTTGTCTGCTTCTGGAATGAATTTACTTTGCTTCTTAGAAAAACCCATATTTGATTAGGCCAAAGTCATCATTCTTAGAACTGAGTCAGAATTTCTGGCTCTTCTTTCCTCAAGCATCATCTCCATTTCTAGGAATCAATAAATCAAACACGAAGTGAGTAATTGAATAGAATTTGAATCGATCGCGATGTCTTCAGAATTCCAATTTCCAAAAAAAAAGAGGCTTAGCTCGGCACCAAAAAGAGGTTTAAGATTCGACTTCGAAAAACAAAATCTTGGCCTAACTTCCAAATGTTTCTCTCTTCGTTGGGTTTACGCAGTGATTCTAAGGAGGAAAGGGCTTGTTGAACTTTTTTGGATTTTTTTTCCTCGATTATTTGAAGGGCTCATTCATTTTTTATTTTGAGTTGAGAGCAGACGGAGTTAGAATAGAATGACTGTTTTGAAATATCGATCGAAAGTGAAGTTATTGAACGAAAATCTCTGCTGGAAGTGAGATGTATACGATTTCAGCAGTTCGAAATTCCTCATAGTTGCAGAAAAACTTACGAAGAAGAAGACACTGAAGACGAGCGAAAGAAGATGCATGATGAACGCACAACACGATTCCGCACACCTGCGATGCTAAGAACGATTTGAGGCCATTCGACGCCTTGCAGCATGATGTAGCGGCATGATGCAATTGGAGGAAAACTCCTGTCAAGGGGGAGCGGGTGACTCAGCCTTGGAATTCGCTCTTATCGAGGGTATTCCACGTGGCAAAAAGTTGAGGTATTCAGGGTTTCCGACATTCCTCAACGTCACGAGTGGATGAGACGAGCTGGTTGCGACGTGCCCGAAGGAGACGAAGGCTTCGTCCCTATTGCACCGTGAGTCAGTCGTGATCCAGCGATGTGACCTCGTGACTTTCTTATCTCATGGTGCTGGAGTGGATTCTTCTCGTGGAGAGCAGTGGGAAATAAAAATAAACTCACCATTTCCGTTTGCAAGATCACTGAACTTCTAGAACTCTCTTTCCGCAGTGGAAAGTTGAAAAATGAGAGAGAAAAAACCTATCAATTAGGGTAAAACCAGATCAGTTTGGAGAGTGCCTAAGCTTGGATACTATCACTTACATCGTTACAAAACCAAGCATTGGTGAATTCTACCTCAGAAATAGTTGGAAGAACTGTTTCAAAGGGTGACCTAGCAAATGCTTTGCTCTATAACTATTTATTTCATGGTATACGAACTTAGGTACAATCCCAACTTAAAAAGTTGTTTCCTAATGGATTGCTTTTTCCCGACTTTAGGGAGCTATGCGCTTCTGTGTAGAAGAGATTACCTTATCTCATGAACACAATGAAGTTTAAAGGTATAAGCTCCAAATAACTTGAAGTGATACTGATTCGCTACAGGAAAGAAGTGCCAGTCATTCGATCTTAGGTACGAAATGCCCCGGAACAGATCCTCAACGGCGGATCCCCATTCCATTCGGCTTTGTATCATCCTACTTTGTTTTTCCTGCTTTCCAACAGTTCCACTGGGCGCGACGAGTCTCAACAAGTGAAGCGATGGAGGCTCTTAGAGAGGAGGCGTGTGGGCGACCCACGCAGGTCACAATGGATTTGCATTCACGGATCATTGTGTGCATGATCCACTTTCAAGCGGGGGAAACGAGCGCGAGCTGGAATGAGGGAGAACTTACCGTGCGAAGTGTCAATACGTTTGCAGTCATGGAAGTGAATGTATGAGTAAGTCAATGGAGGTGATCTGCATAGAGAGAAAGTCGAGAACCGAGAACGTGCTGGTCCTACTCGATCGCGATTGTGAGGCGAGACTTTTAGGGAAAAGCCTCCCTCCCCATTAGTAAAGGCAGAGAATTCCCCTCTCGAGGCGACCCAGAGGGAAAGAGAGAAACGAGTCCGTCGTTTTTGTTACTTTCTCTACCTTTATTTTCAATCTGCACGTCTGCTTACGATCCTCTGAATACCAAAAGTGCATAACATTGTTACCCTTCACGATGTCACCACTAACCATGCCATCGATTTGCCAATGGACTTTGACAGGGAATGGAATGATATATTGCCAATTGGAATGCACAAGAAAGGCCGAAACCGCACGCCAACCTCCGGATTAGTACGACGCTATCTGCGATGGCAGGGACGGCTCTAACTACCTCCTCCTCCCCCCCCCTCCCCCTCCCTCCAAATAAAGAATGTCACTACAAGTTTTCCATCAAGTGAGCATGAAGTGATTTTTTGCTGTTGAAAAACGAGGACTGGGACGGACATACACAGGCATGGACAAATGCTACAAGCGGCAACACAGAGTAGAGGAAAGGGAATTCTAATTGGACATCCCTGACGGCATTACCCCCACCTTCCCACTCTTCCTTTCATAATATATCCCGTTTTCACCGGCCCGGGGAAGGTGGTGGCAACTTCGATGCCGCTCCAGCCATAGGCCCACCATCGCTGCACATCGGGCCGCCAGGGCCAATGTGGCGGGTGCTATTGAGGTGCACCAAGTCCCTACCTCTCACACAATAGAGCACAGAGTGGCCTATGCTTCAGCTCAGGGGAGAGCAGGTAGTACCCGAAAGCAGCCGGGTGAACTGTCGGCCCATAATTTTCAGTGTCATGTGTCTAGTTGGCCAAAATGGAAACCGATACGGTTTCATCTAGGTTACTTTCTTTTCCATAAGTACGGGTGATCGAACTGTGGTTGAGCCTCCAACTGGAATTTTCTCTCTAATAAAAAATCAAAGCATGGTGGATCCCTGAGTTAAGAAAATTTTCAGCACTCTTGCTTTAACTGTTCTCGAGTTATGATGTGTAATGAGCTAAAGTAAATCCCCTGGGAGAAAGGTGACCCTAGGAAGAGATCAACTGCAAAGTGGCCTCTCTCTAAACTACATCTGCTACAGCAGTAAGATTGAGAAGACTGCTTGCTTCTCGCCTTAGCAGTCACACATGGAAGAGATTTCGAGGAAGCGTAGGAAATAGAAAACTTCAGATGTCTGTCATGTATGGGGTTTTTATTAAGTTTATTACCGGGTTCAGTTATAATATGCAAATTATGCATCACGGAACTGTAATATTTGGTTTGAACACAAATGGGGAACATGGGAAAGAGGAATGTAAGGCGATCGGATATGGCAATCAGCGTTTTCTTAATAGCTGCGTTTGCTACATTTGCTACATTTGCTCAAAGTGGCCTACCTTCATGTCTACGATTGCTTGCATTCGGGATATGCAATGCATAGACTGCTGACTGAAGCTGTCAAGTATCCAACAGAGCCCCATTATGGGAAATAGCATGTTTAAGGTCCATTAAGGTATACATAACAGACTTCCCCCAAGCCAAAAGTCTGTTGAGGTGGCGTAGGGAAAATTCTTGCGAATTTTCCCTACGCCACCATTTTCCTTAGACTCACAAGGAAGGCTGAAAATCGACTTTAGACGCCATCATTCCAGCTTAATATTGCATCTCAGAGTCACAGTATCAGTGGCATGCGGTGGTCCATGACAGAGGTCATCCAGATGTTTCAAAATCGTGTTTGAAAACGAAACAAAAAACCAAATCTATCATACTTACTACATTTGTAGACGAAAGTCAAGTCGACGTGATGTAAATGAAAAACCACGAATTGAATGGAAATAGGGAAAAAATCAAATCGATACACAATGTGGTGAACACTTAAGATCACAGGTAAATACCACTTCTTCTCGTCCAAACTGGTCCTACAGAGTATGACTTGCATGTGCGAACCGCACGGGTGTGCACAGTACCCAACTCATTTATTAGGACTGCGCAACATTTCCGCCAGATAGCATTGACCTGCAGCGACGAGACCATGCCAGAATGCGTCGAAGACGTTCAGATCCCTGCTGTGCACGTAGTGGAGTAGAGCGCTCCGTCGCCTCCTTGGCACCGTCTCCAGATTCAGTTCTTCCCGCTCGCTCAGCCGTAGCTTATTTTTCGAGATCATGTGGTTTTCCACTTTCTCCACGTCCATGTGTTCAAGCAGTACCGCCCAGTGGCTGGTGATTGCATATCGATACCAACAGGACACCGTCGTCGTTCGTTCCCCTGTGAATTTTATGCTTTCCTCGCCACCCTCTGAAAATGGATGAATGAATGATGACTTTTCTTCTAAGACATACCCAACACACACGTTCTTCACTTCATCTCGTCCGATTTCAAGTTGGGACTTCCCTCACCTCCTAATTGGCTGGGGGAGGAAGACTCCCCAGATTTCACGGGAGGGATCCCGCCCGCCGAGTTCGGGATGAAAGTATGTTCTTCCTCCAATTTACCAGAGCTGCCTGAGGATTCTTCTACAACGTAACAATTGAAAGTACTGTACTCGTCTAAGCTCTGAGGAAACGTTTCCCTACACATGTTCTATTTCGAGTAGCATATCACGCTTACCTTGTCCTGATTGGCAGGGGGAGGGAGACATAGTCTCTTGTAAGAGGGGAGTTTCTTCCGCCGATTCCGAGATGGTCCTCGATTCTTTCAGAGCTGCAGCAGGGATCTCATTGGCTTCTCCTGAAAATGAGCCACAGACAACGTAAACCAATGAAGTTTCTCATGCGATCGCCATGATCCTTGTCCGTGTTCGTGTCTAGCTTTAATCGACATTTGCCGGAATGTTTTTCATGTCGACATAGGTGACTCATGATATTCCGTAGTAGCAGGCCGTCAATCGATGTAGGGTAGGCTCAGGCCAAAACCTTCCTCCACTGGCGATCCACTGCCGCTGAATATCATGAGCCGGCATTGCATGCCAGAGGTCTCACTCGCCTTCTTCGATTTGGGCACGTGGAGAAGCAGAATCTGCTGGAATCTGCGTGACGGTCACGGTGCTCGCCTGCTCTTTCTGGATGCAACGCCGTCTCCCCCTCCCTGCCGCATTCCCACACCCCAGCGAGTTCATAACCCCAAGACTTTCGCAAGGTCAGTCGAAGGAGATGTGGTGGCTAGAGAGGGACTCACAGAGCAAGGCAGTCAGAGCGAGAAGACACAGGAACGCGCCTACGCCTGCAGTACTAGCAATCGTCACCTTCGGTGATTCTTCTTTCTCTCCTTCCTTCGATTGCTCTAAACACGTCTCCGCCTCTCGATCTCCGCTCCATTCTTCAGCCAGGAACCTAGAATGTACGTGAAAGAACCGAGATAAGCAGAAATGATTCCGTGTATTCGCATTGGATGCAATAGCGGCAATCTTTGGAAACGGACCCCGGCAGACATTGGCCGCAGTCCAGGTACGATTCTGGATTCTTATTCGCCCCCGGCTGTCTGTTATAAAGGCGTCGGCATAGCTCCTCGGCCGAGGGTTTCGCCCTTGACTCCGAACTAGGAACCTGTAGAATAACGGAAAAATTAGGATCATAAAGCTGGATTTTTTTTAATTCTTAGTATACTAGTATTTAGAAATGCTGGCCGAGTTTGGATGAAGCAAGTTTACCTAACAAACTATCGTTGACCAAAGTAGCTATTGACACTCGCGTGAATACTTTTTTAGATTGCCTCTTTGCCCCCGCTTGGAAGCTAGCAGTTCGACATTATCTTCTTTTTTTTTAACGCTATTTGAGATAAGCTACTTGCTGATGGTTTATAATGACACAGGATTGCATCACCTAGTCACGTGGCAAATCTTTCCTGTTTTTCCTTACTAGAAAAACTTGACGCTGGAATTTTGATTAGAGAAAGACTCACCAGGAGCAACGTCGAATATACAATCCTGAAACGGGTGATGACCCGAGGTTTCATCCTGGACGAGTCGGGTCGCTGGATTTTTCACTGCTGGTCCAATCAATGAATACTACTTCTTCTGTTTCATGGTCCCTAAAAATAGGAGAAGAGTCGTAGAACGGAGAAAACGTTTCACATGATCGTCACACTGCTTCGACAAGACAATTTAGAGGCAGATAGAGCGACGCACCGAATGAAGGCGAGGTCCACCTGTACCTCACATGTTAGTGAGCATTGTCATGAGCATCACACGGCTAGACCGCGATGTGGTGCAATTTCATGAAATTACAAGTCTTACCTTCGGTGTTTTTACGTTGACTTTCCCCCTCCCATCCAACTCCGGCGCTGTTGTCGAGGGCACGAGAGCGACATCTCATTAAAGCAATCACTAGTGGATGAGGCACCAGAGGCGTGAATACTGGCAACGTCCAATCCGCATTCAGGGAGCTCCATTGTTCCGTGACGGTCTCTGTCTCTTCAAAGCCACAGAGGACCACGTCACATCCCAGTCCCATCGCTATCAAATAAACTGAACATATTTCGGTTTCGATTTTCCTGCGATCCGAAGTGGGTCCTCCGGCCTCCATTATGAAGCTAGCTTTAATGAACTCCCCTCGTCACGCCGTCAGGAATGAAACTTCTCGGAATGCTTGTCCCAAGTTGCACTCGTTTGTGAGAGGTCTTTGTCAGCCTGGGAATCGCAACACACTTATTCTTTGGAGCGTTGGATATAAGCGTCGGACCTCGAACAGCGTCCGATCCAAAAATAAAGTGAACAGGGGACCAACAGACAAGATGGCCGACGGAGGAAACAAGGAACACAATGGAACTTAAGATGAACGGGCAGACGAAAACATGAATGACAGAGAAATAAGGAAATTAGTTAAAGTTAAGATGGACGAAGCAGTGGATTCTCGGTGTTGACTGGGAAGGGCATCGGCATTCTTGCATTCAATTAAAGTCGCCTAAAGTGTGAAGTGAAAATGACATATTATGATTCCACAAAGGCCAAAAAGGGGTTTTGGAATGGAGGAAATGCCAGAACAAAGGAGTCGGACATTCCTTTCTTGGTCATCTGTCTCATGTTAATAGTTTCGGTGAGTAAATAAACTGAAATTCTTAAGTCAAAAATGAAGGTTTTATTGCTGAATATGAGAAAGTAGTTGGGTTGAAATGGGATGCGTGTGTGTACAAGAAAAATTAGTGTCACCACAAAAAGTCAAACATTCACGATCCATTGTTATTTGAAAATAAATTACTAATCGTAAATCATCATCTTTATGGCCAAATAACTGTATCCAGAGACAGGGACAATCGAGCTCATTTTTCTGGGATCATAATGTCTCTTTCAATGTGCCTTGTGTCACATTGTTTGCAGCATGTCAGACGTGACCAAGGCTCTTGCTTGGACATCGGGACTTCCCGGTATCTATGGCGTCTACGTGCCCAGCAGATCATGTAACTGATGGAAGGTAGCACCAATGACATATTTTGGAATCTTCGACAAAATGACACTGATCTCGTGCCATAACACTTCTGTTATTTGCAAGTAGGAACGAAGCAATATGAATGTTAAATAGATAATATATTATATCGTGTCTGATACTCTTGAATAGGTCCCTCATTTCTGCCTAACATGGCGATATGAAAAAAGAAAAATAAGGGTGAGGGTGAATATTGGACTTCTCTCTTGCTTTTTCCAGTTTCAAGTGTGTTTCACCTGAGACGTAGTGCTTGAGGTGCTCTTCGCGACGCGGTAGGTACGCTCTATCGTCCGACTCGAGACCGTGATGGTGGCCCTTGACGATTGCTCAAATAAGGATCGACTGGCGGAGACGCTCAGCATCGGGGAGTCGATGATGCTTGGTTCGTTTGGTTGGGGAGGCTGCTGATGGTCGAGTAGTTGCTGCTGCTGATCAATCTCATGCGGAGTGAGGGGGTGAGAGGTGGTATCGAACCATGGGTGGTTAGACGCAGTGAAAATGCCAGTGGCCGAGTGGGACTTGGAAAGAGACTCATCCGGAAATGGGAGACTCGCAGGACTCTCAGAATTCTCAGGACTCCTGGGACTTGCAGGACCCTCAGGATTCTCAGAACCCTTGGGACTCCTGGGACTTGCAGGACTAGTGGGACTTCCATCTCTGTCACCTGCACTCGCCTGCAATGGAGAACTCTGGCCCGAGCGTTCACCGATGGAAGACAAAGTCTGGTCCAAAGGCTTTTGGCTTTCTTCGGGCATAGGGGACTTGTCGAATGACTCCGATCGATCGCATGCCTCGTATTCCTTCCGGTCACTGACTCCACCTTCATCTTCTTGACCATGATATGTGGCCTTGCGGATCATTGCAAGACGCGTTCTTGCACCCTCCAGTTCCTTCTCCAACCGCAACATCTGCGAACGTCGGACACAAAGGTTATAATTTTCCCTGAAGTTCAGCGAAAGAGATAACATGGCTTCGAAAGTTGCCGACACCTCAGAACGAGCTTGAATCTCTTGAGCAATCTTTTCAACCATTCTGGTATTGAAGTATAGGTTTCGTTCTTCCTCTCGGGTAATAGCCTGCTGTGCCGCCTTGACCAGATTGTCCGTCGCCTTCTTCACGGCATTCCCAGCAGCCTGGAGTCGTTTCATGGCCGGACTGTCCGAGTCGGCCCTCACCTTGCATGCAACCAGGAGTTGAGCCGTGGAGGAGGCCACCTGCTTGGCAGCCGAGGTCAGCTTCTCCTCCGTCGAGTGGCCTTGGACGAGAGCGTTTGCCGCCTCGCAGAGACTGTGGGTCGCTGCAGCGACCATTTTGGCTGCCGAGATCAGGCCTTCGGACCACTGCCCATCTTCTGAAGTATAGTTGGGTCGACCGTTGATCTGAATGATAATAGGAAATGGGAGTTATGGTGTGCTTGATACAACAGAGTTAGAATAAGTGGTGGAATTTGGATTCACCTTTCCTTGCTCAATGAGCTCCCGTTGAGCAGATGATGCAGCCTTGATGAGAGCTGAAGAGGCAGCAGCAATGCTCTTGGCTGCTTCCAGGATCATCTCATCAAAGTTTAGCGATTCATTTGCTTCCTGGGATTTGAGAGAAAGAAAATGTAATAAAGCTGCACTGAAGTCTCAAAAGTGGGTGCCTAAATCCATGAACGACCAGTGATGTGGAACATGTGTTTGAATCCTGGTAAAATACTGAAAATTTTCAAATATATCTCACTCACTCCCAGTTATTTCTCTCCTTTTATCTATTCTCAATAGCCTACACTGGATTTGAGGACCGGAAGGAGCTAAAGAAGACAAGGGAAAGAGAATACGTCTTCACACACCTGAACACGCCTGGGTCGAAGACTTGCCAGTTTCTTGGCTGCTGCATCGATGGAGTTGGCCGCTCCGAGAAGCTCGTTCTCGGCGATCACGATCGGATCGTCGGGGTCTTCCCAGTCGCTGCTCTTCAGCAACTGGGCAACGCTCACTAGCTCGGTCACATGCGTTGCCAGATTCCGTGATACAGGTAGCAACGCCTGCTTGCTCTCTGCCGTTGGCTTCGTGAGGATCTGTATCACTCGCTGCAGGAGTTCTTGGTACTCAGAGGCACATTTTTGGCCTGCTGTCAGAACTTTTTCCCGGATCTCAATGCTCTCAGCTTCCCAAGCTGCACCCTATACGATTGATAGCGAAACATTTACAATTCTGATGCCTCAAATTGACAGAAAAGGAAAAGAGAGCAGACTTTGCAGATGGCGAGCATGTCTGAGATGGTTCTTCGTCCCATGTTGGCAGCCAGAATAACGTCATCCTGATTGCAGGAATTCCCTGCAGCCACAGCCTTGGCTGTTGCCAGAGTGATCGGTTTAGTAGCTCTCACCAGGTCTTCTGGATTGGCACGCTTTCTTGGAGGATCTGAAGAACGCAGTGCCTGTAGCGGAAGAAGATATGCAATAATCAATGTAATGTAATTCTTAATCTTGTAGTATTATCAGTCATCGTGACTGGAGTCTGTCGAGAATCTTTACGTCAGGTTGAAAATTTCACCTTCATTAGCATTCAAGGTCATTCTGACTTTTTGTCTTGGATATTCTTGAAAAAGTTGAAGAGACAAAGTGCAAAAAAGCCTGTTCGATTCATGACTTGAGATGGATTTTGTCTTTACTAACAGCGTCCTTCTCTGTCTCCTCGATTCATCAACATTAACTGGAGTTTTGTTTGCTTAGTTCCATGGCTTGGCTAGCACCTTATTTCAAAGCAAGGATAAATGTTTGTATAAAACTAACTCGAATTTCCTGTGCTATGACCTCGATGGTCGATTCAAGGGCTCGTGTTCCCCGGTTGTGCTCCTCTTCCACAGACTTCATTGTCTTGAGCAGTGATGTCACGCTGTTCACCATTATCTGCAAGAGGAAATAAAATGGAAGAGAGGAACTCATTTAATTAAACCCCAAATCTTATTTTTCCTTCATGGGCAAAGTCGCACCACGAATAAATTGTCAGGTCAGACTATGCCATGACACATAACTAGTCTATCTCTTGTAATTCAGAGATTCAAATATTTTAGCTGCATTTTTAAAATGCCGCTAAGATATTTGAGTCTGAAGATACTAAGGTCTCCCTTTCCTTACCCCATGGAAAATGATAAAAAAAAGAAGGTGAAAGAGTGCTCGGCGCAGTGAGGGGCGGAAATTAATATTGCTTATTGAGAAAACAATGAGAAAAGAGAAAAAAAAACCTCTGATGAAGGAATAATAGAAGAGAAGAAAATGAGTAACTTGAAAAGCTGGCACAGAGGAAATAAATCGACAGGGTATTTTTTTGCTTTGTTTTGGCACGCTGCAATAAGCTATTCAGTTCCTCCTCTGAGTTCTCCTCTACTTCTTGACATATAATGACATTTCTGACTCTGACTCTGAGAAAAAAAAAAAGAAAGTCCAGAGAATAAAATTGAGAAATAGGCAAATATTTGAAAACTCAGACCATGAAAACACGAGATAGAAGAAATAGAACAACGACGAGAAGAAATCCCGGACTGACCCTGGCCGACTCCTTCAAGTTTACCATGGCTGGATCTTGAACGTTCTTGCCAGCAGCAGATTTTGTCGACTGAATCAGGTCTCTGAGAGCAGACGCCACGTACCTCACAGCTTTGATCAGCAGTACCTGAATGTGAAGCGATCGTGCATTTTCTACAGCTGTTCAGAATGAGAACTCTCAAGGTTACTGAATGGATGTCTCGAAGTAAACCTGTGCTTCCGAATTGCTGGAGGTGTGAGAGGCTGCTCCAAGTTTCACAGCATCAGCCAGCTGCGACATTGTGGCCACAACATTTTGGGCAGTCACTGCCAGCTTTTCCTGTGATGAAGTAGCTCCTGAATATAAAACATAAATCAGATTGAGGCTTCCACGAGAGGTAGGAGAGAGACACAGCAAGATCAAGCTTATATGAGGAATATCTGACCAGTAACTAGAGTCTTGGTTTCCTCGATGAGGGCCCTGGCAGTCTTAAGGATGCTATCTCGATAATTGATAAAAGCATCATTCTCATCCTCAGGATTCAGCGTTTCAGCTTCTGCAAACATGGCGGTCGTGTCCAGGTCCCCGATGATCCTAGATACCTTGCTTGCTGCATCGATGCATGCTTGCGTCCCTCGGGAGCCAGCTTGCAACGCTGCAAGCACCTGAGAAACCTGGAGACCAGAAAATAACACTTTCCATTCTATCCAACATTCCATTCCTTTCAACTATCCTGCTCTAAAAAAAAATGTAAGATAGTTGCTGGGGCTTCCTAACTGTTTCTGAAACTCGTCGAACACTCTCGGATAGATCTTGCTGAGCGAATGAGTCATCTGGGGAGCCCTGAAGATTCCCACCGGTCTTGATCAATTGAATGCAGGCTTGACCAAGTTCAAGCACAAAGGATCGGATACGAGACGCCAGCTCGGGATTTGATGTGCTCAACAGAGCTCCTTTTGTCTCAAGTAGGAGTGCAACATAGACGCGAGCCAAACCAGCTGCAACTGTTGCCATTTCACTGACATCACTTATTGACTTCCCCATCTAAGAGAAAAGGAGAGCACAGCGTAAAACTAAGACTAAAACATGGGGAAGTTCGTTCTGGTAGCTTATCTACCATGTCCTGTGCAGTGCGAGCAATCTGCTTCACCAATTCAACCAGCTGTGTTTGGTAATCCACGAAACTGAGGTCATCTTGGAACTCTCCAAGGGCACGATCGTCTATTTGTTGCATGGCAGTCGTGATCTGGTCGATGAAGGATGTGACCATACCCGCTGCGGCGGCCATTCCCTCCAGCGTCTCCATAAGGTCGCTCACTGCCTCTTTCATGTTCTCCACGTTCTCGTCGATCTCATCATGCTCGTGCGTCATCTGTGCCATGCAAAGCCATGCTAAGGTGTTTCGCCGATGAAAGACACAACTCGTTATTTTTGCATCGAGAGACTGATAAAGAAACCTTCGAGTTCCCTGCTCCTTTCTTGGCAGCAGAGATGAGCTGAAGAGCACTTTCGCAAACTGTCTTAGTGCGGTCCAGCAAGTCCGTCTGCTGCTTTGAATGCAGCGAGTTCGTCGCTCCTACCGCATTTGATGCCAAGGGGCCGAAGTAGCTTACCAACTGCGTTACCTGCACACGAACAGCTAACATGAGGAACCTTTGTAATACAAAGAGTAGGTCTACTTAAAGATAGCAGAACTCACGCGATGGCCTAGGGTCTCGGCTTCTCCCTTAGCAGATTGACGAACCGGCTCGACACGATTAAGAATCTCGCGAGCAGCTCCGATCATCTGCTCGGTGAAGCCCTGAAGGGAATTTTCTTTCCGAGGAATCGGGTTCTGAGAGACGACCGAGAGCGAAGCTTGGTCTAGTTCTTGGATGCAGCTTTTCAGGGTCTCGATACCGGAGTCACACTCACGAAGACCAGGAGCCTTTTCCCTATAAAACACAGTTGGGTGAAAAGGTTTCGCTTTTCATTCCCTTTTCATCCACTTGATGAAAAGGGAATGAAAAGCGAAACTTCTGATGATGCTTCATGGCGCTTACTGGATGGTAGAGACAAGTTTTCTGATTGAGTCAGTGACACTCTTGCTGTGATCGGCCAGAGCCTGCAAAGTGGTAGGGTCTTTTGGATCCATAGCCAACTGTTTGGCAGCCTGAATCACGGATGTGGAATCCGAAATGATGGACTTCCCAGCATCGATGATCGGTTCCTGAGAAGTCCGAGCGTCGGGCGAGATGCGTGCAGGGGTCGAGACAAACTCAGGCGAGGATGCAAATGCAATCAAGTTGTCCACTGCTTCCAGAAGAGGGCGAGTTGCTTCCACACATTTCAGACGGTTGGCCTCGCCGTTATCATCATCAAAAGCTGCATATCAAAGCAAAACACTCAATTAAGCTGCCATAATTATCAATCAATAGAAGAGCTTCCTTTAAGCTTAACTGACCTGTGATATCCTGAACGAGAGCAGCCGTAGCATTTGTAACGTCCGTGGCCGACTGTAAAAACTGGAGCCTTGTGACCTGATTGGCTGTCTTAGTGGATGCCATTCGACAGGCTTTAGACAGGATTCCCGTGTGCTTGGCTATCACGGTAGCAGATTCCATGATCCCATACTGGGTCGCATTCTCAGAAACGATGGGCTGGCAGACGGAATGGATGGCTTTGGCCGAGGAAACAATAGCATTCTGATCGATTATCCCCGGTCGAGCTTCTGTGCTCGATGGATCCGACACTCCAACCAGATATGCAGCCTGGGCGGCAGTTTCGATCAAGCAGCAGATGGAGCTGCTTATGCTGGACACTGACGAATTCAACTCTACGAACTCCGACTTCTTGGCGCTGTTTTCAATGTTGGCCATCCCTACACCTGAATGAGAAACGCTTTTGTTAGATTTATCCGGACACACAAGTTATGTTGGATCGAGAAATTCACTCACCGAGGCTCTTGGATTTCTCCACGAGTGTGTCAAGGCATTCGAAGTAAGAGGTATCATTGATGGGCTCGATGGGATTGTCGAGGATGGGTCGAATGGACTGAATGCTGCGGATGGCATTGTCGCATTCTTTCTGACCGGGGGCAGCACTAGTATACAAATCCAGGAGGGCATTGATGCTTTCCGTCAGCGCCCGAGCTGCATTCAGGAGAGCATTCTTGGCGTTGGGGGCATAGGGATCGGCCGAGAGCGTCTTGGCTGCGTGCAGAAGGCTTGATGAGCACGTTGACACCGATCTCAAAGAGATCACCATCTCTCGTTGAAGTATCTCGTCCTGCCGATTGGGGAATTCACATAAATGCTGAATTCACATTTAGACCTTACCTTGGACTGATAGAGTTTGCATACCACGGTCAGGCTAGACATCTCTAGGCCAGTATTCATGAGGTCAGTAAATGCTGTCGAGAAACTCTTGCTGGTCTGGGCCAACTGCAACGGGGATTTGGCTGCCTGGACCATCTCAGTTGAGACATCATTCAACCGCGATGCCATCCCCGATGCCTCCGAACGCAACTCGCTATCAACGAAATACGATCTGCTGTATCTACATTCTAGGTCTTTTACAAAGCTAAGGGAAACTTATTCAAAGAAACCTGAAGCTCTTCTCAGTAGGAGGGAGACGCGAGGTGTCAAGGCCTAGAGATGCACTGCTTACAACTTGGATAGCTTCATCCACGTCTTTTTGCCCCGGCAAGCAGTTCACACACTTGCTTAGGCTCTGGGGAAAGAAAACGTATGAGATGAAAGAAAGTGAATAAAAAGAAGTGGCATAACACAAACCTGCGATATCGATCGAGCCAAGTCATTCAATCTTTTCTGCTTGTCTGGAATGTTTGTATCTTTTCTGGCATTGTGGGCTTCTCCGATCAACTCTATGCTCTGGTGCATGATCTTTAGTGTCTCTTGTATCATCCTGCATACAGAATACCTTCATAGTTTAAGTACTGTATTCACTCGAATGTATTGGAGATCCGCCAAGGAGATGAATAAATAGCTTACTGATCTTGAACTAGGCGGTCACAGGACGTGGCAGCCACTCCTCGGACAGCATCAGCCAGGTCTTGAAGGGAATGGGCGGCATCCCGGGCAGCCTTTCCTGTATAATGTTCATCAGCTTGCGATGCTGCTGTTAGGAGACCAGTCACCGCTGATCCTACGGACTTCGAGCTGGTTCCTGCTCGTCAGTACACACAGAAGCCAGATGCCTATTGAAAACATTTTGCAATGTTTTGAGAAATAAAGGAGGACCTAGAGCATCTTACCAAGACGAAGGGCAGTGGATTCTACGGTTTCCCCTGGAAGCGGCTTGAGTTGTCCCGTTTGTACAGCCTTATGGAATTCTTCCAGTTCTAGATGCAACCCTCGAATGAGCGCGAGTGCAGCATCCTGCTCGAGAGAGCCACAGACCTCTTCGGCTCGAGTCACGGTAGAGCGGAGGTCGCTCAGTGTTGATCCCAGCTTTTTGCTGCTATTGCTCAATTGCATATGAATTGCTTGATCCTGCACCGTTGGCAATACGGACTTGGTGGAAGCTATCAACTTGTCTCCTAGCTGGATGCGAGGGAATTAAACAAAGTTATGGTATGTTGTCTTCTGACAAGTGCTAAATGTTTTGCAGACGTCAAATGGACATACCAAAAGAAATTGCTGAGATGCATCGATCAAGTTGAGCTGCACGTTTGCATCATCACGTCGAATCGTTGACTCCTTTACAACCTGCACCAACTTGGAGATGTGGTCTGCCACCTCCCGACAATCCTGCATCATCTCGACCTGTGAAGCTTGGTTGGTGTTGTGCGGACCAGAGGCTTGGACCGCTGATATGCACTGGGTCCCTGCTGCTGCTGCATGCTTGGCTGCGTTCTGATTCAACCAACCCACGAGAGTCAGCATCTCATCACAGCTCTTTGGCGATCAGTCGAATGAGGAGAATTCCTTACTTCGAGACCTTTCATTAGCTTCTCCTTTTGTTCATCGCTAGTAGCCACAATGGCTGCACTCCGAACATCCTCGGCAGCTTGCTTCAGTGCCTTTTGAAACTCGATATCATCTGGATCTGAAGCATACGCCTTGGCACATTCAACCAAGCGTGCAGTGGCATCAGCAAGGATCTTAGCTGCGGTCAGCAGGTGCGTCTTCGTGTCTGAGTCAGTCAGCAAATGTGCCTCTCCCTGAACAGAATCACACACACATTGACATCCTTCATGCAGTTCTACTGAATTGACCATTAACAAAATACCAGCATCTACAAAAATGTGAATATTTCCCGCGAAAGGAAGAACCAGAGAACATAATACAAATCCATATTTCGATTAATGAAATCAATGAAAACGTGCACTGATCAGCAAGCAAAATGGTGAACATACCAACCATGAGCTCCTCACATCCCGATCAATAGCTCCGCAGGTTCGAGAATATTAGAACTATGCTTTACAATTTGTTTATCTTGTCCAATTCTCCGGAAGGATTTCCTTTGTCTTCCCGATTGGCTATGTGATGTCAAAAAGTCATATTTTCCATAGTTATCCTTTGCTTTTGGATGGCCTTGGGTGAAGGAGGTCTTGACTAACGTAGCCTTTATATTTGCCAATATACTTTTTTAATGTTCTGACACCTGCTTAGTTCGCTCCCCATTGATATCAAATATTTTTCTCCTACGTGAGAAGAGAATCAACAATTTGAAGCTCCTGAAGATGCTCAAGAAAGCTCTTTGGATAGCTGACAGCAGCAGGCTGTTGAAATGAGAAACCTGGTCATCCTGTTCCCATGATAACCCCGATTGAGGCAAAGACTGGCAGACATGCAACATAGTTCATATTCCTGCATCTCAATTGCTAATAAACTTAACCGTACTGAATTTCTAAAGGTTCCCGCAAGAATCAATCGATTTCTGGGGAGTTATGTGTATTGGTGTAACGGTTTTACAATACAGTAGACTTTTTCTCACCTTGATGGCTAGGATGAGTTGAGTCATTGCTTGAGTAAGGATTCTTGTCTGGTTCACCATCTCGCTTGAATCTCCTGCGCTTGCAATCAATCTATCAGAGGCAGCTAGTATACGGTCTATTCCTCCATCACCCAGTGGCTTTTTGGGCTGGTTTCCACTGCCTATTCTGTCGCGTCAAAGTCGGGTCAGATTATCTGGATAGTTCTGTGGGATCTCTCGAGTGATGGTAGATGAAAGTGACGCACTTGATTTGGTTGAGGTGGTCGTTGAAAACACGTGTGACCTCAGTTGCTGTCGCTCTCAAGTCCAGTAGTAGAGTCTCATCAACGCCTGTCACATCCTGACATAAGGCAATGACTCCATCGGCTGCCTTCACATTCCTCTTTGCCGCTTCAATCAGTTGGTCTTGGCATGCCTTGTCGTCTATTGTCGAAGCCACAACCTACAAACAAATTAAAATTTTCTTCGCTTCCCAAATGATTATGAAATGGTTTGTTCCACACGAAGTTAAAGCTTACCTTCGAACAAGCAACGAGTTGTGACGTTGCCACGGCACATTGACTCGCAGCAGCGATAATGCGGTTTCTCAGGTCCTGGTCTTCTGCTGCTGAAGCCACAGCCTTGGCCTTGAGGACAAGAGCACCCGTGGCATTTGCAACTGCTTTTGCTAGTCCAAACAACATTTCCTGATTCTCTGAATCACCATCCTTTTCCTGTACGGTTGAAATCAGCTTTTCCGATGCCTCCCCGACTCGGCTGACTGCTCCAAGCAAGTTCTGTCTTGACTGAAGAATAGAAAAAAAAAAAAAAAAAAAATATATATATATATATATGAAATAAAAAGGACTAGTCCGGCAAGAAAGCTGGGTCTTCTATGAAGACTCAAGTCTCCTCACTTCTTTAGCTTCAGGCTCTGCTGCACGTAAGAGGTCAGAGAAAGCAGCACAAAGCTTTCGGGCGGCTTCAATGAAGCCTTCTCCTTGTCTTTCGTCATCCGTAAGAGCAGCTATGATCTTCACACCCTTCATCATCTCGGGGAGATTGGATACGATCGTGCTGATGGCAGCACCAACGGCATTTTCATCTACTTCATCTACTGTGGGCATTAAACACTTTAGTGACAGAGGGAAACGACAAAAAATTCGATTCGGAAGCGAGGTTCACCTCCAGTAAGAGTGGCAAGCTGAGCAGTGGCAGCATTCGTGGCAGCCACTTGAGACCTCACATTCTGCTTGTTCGTGTCAAGGGTTCTCTGTCGCCATTTGCGAGAAGCGAGATCCGTTCCCAAGCTGGGAATTTCGGCTCGAGTCTCTAGATCCCGTTCGGCCAGTTGAATCGCCTTTTGCCCGTTCGAGATACCTGAGTTCAGAGCTCTCTGTGGCTCACTCGGCAGTATACATTGAGGGCTCAATGGAGGCTTGAGAAAAGATACAAGAGGTCAGTATAATCTGCGAAGTGACAGTCTTGATTTGACAAGAAGATATTAGACTGCTGAGCTACTTGCAGCCCATGCCGTACTGTTAAAATAATAGCCAATCATCCGTTACTGATTTTCTTTTTGTAACATAACCCTTCCACATTCTAGGCAAGAATTATGATAGGTGCAGAACTAAGGATTGCATGTCAGTGAAGTAAGGTGGATAAATACCAAGTGGGAAGAGATGAAACGGTACACACCGGCGGTGAGCGATGAGAGATGGATACCTGAACTTGGGAAATCCCGAGCAGGGCATGGCTCATTTCACCTTTGTCGAACGTTCGCTCTCCTATTGGAAAGAAATCGTTCATTTTCCCTTGTCTTCTAAAACGATTGAACTGCTGAAACGTTTTCAGCAAGAGAGAAACTCGACAAATAAAGGAATTATAAAATACCGGCATGAAATAACTTTGTCAAAGATTATCCTGTTCAATATGTTACTTACCAAGAAGAATGTAAGATCTATGAAGTAATGGAGACAACTGGATAAGAGACAATAAATAACTTAAGCAGAAGGCAGAAGGCAGAAGGCAGAAGGCAGAAAGTTGAAAGAAAGCAAAAACAGGAAGGTGTGGAACCAACTATTCAGGATAAAATATGAATCTTGGATAATTCATCCTGCTTGAAAGACAAGTGCTTGAGCGTATGTACAAGCCCCACTGAATTGAAAGGACTCAAAGGAATACGGAATGCTGGGGAACGTGTGACGTGGATGATGCTCACCTCCAACATCTCGAAGCAGAGCTGGTTTTGCCACACTGTTGGTGTAGATGTGAAGGCTGTCCTGTGGAGATTGGTGCTGAATCGTTGTTGCCCTGGGAATTACAAACGGGGTGAGAGACCGCGAAGAGGTTTCAATTGAGAGGCAGAAAAATCAATAGCGTCTTCGCTCACCTTTGAGGACTAACACATTCCTCGACCATTGTGGACCCTTCGTCTCCATCCATGTCAAAATGATCTTTGCCTTTCCTCTGCCGTGATAGAAAGTATTCCAATTCACCAGTGCGAAGAACCGTTAAAGCAGTAGAAAGTGCAGAAATAAAATGTAAATAATCATGGATGCGTTTACCATTTTGAGGATTATATCGATATATCCAGAAATGAGTTGTGTGATCTGCTCTCCTTCGGTGGTCCGGACAGAATAACAACCTTCGGAGTAGTCACCGAAGTCCAATGTGAGAGTGTTTGGTGTCACTCCCCAACGCTTCAGAGTTGTCAGAGGATGAGTCTTGATCGTCTCCTTCGTCTTGTCGTCCAATCGAAGCACTGATTCCTTGGTTATGCCCAGAAGGCAAGGCACCAGCTTGTTCTTACCTTTCATTTTTTCCTTTTGTGCGAGGAACAATTTCTTCAGTTTCATTTGCAAAATGGACAAAATTGCATTATTGCAAGAGCGCCATACCTTGACGAGGAAGAAAGCCACTCCGTAGGTCGGCAAGGAGCGTGCGAGTTTGGTGTATTGAACTTTTGCTTCTACTTCGGTGATTCCTCGGTGCTTCATGTGCTCGGCGAATATTCGTTTCTCGCTGTTCTTCAGCTTTGTATATGAGCGAGGCAGAAACTCACGTGTTCTGCAACCGAGAGAAATCATCCAGTATAAATTCTCAGGCGAACGTATCGGAGGACTCGGAGGTGGGAACTAACTCGAAGAGGCCAGGCCGATGTTTCTTCTCGTCGTGGGAGCCAAGCTGAACCTGGCACTGGAGACCGGCAAACTGAAAGGCCTTCTCCTCTGTCACAGGGTGAGTTCCGTCGATGATGGCATCTCGGCATTGGACGTAAAGGAGGTTCAGTTGTACCGGGTCTCGCTCGTCGATGTTTCGGTCGGAAAAGAAGTACTTCCTTTTAAGGAGAAGGGTCTCAGTGTCCTTTATGCCCTGCTCCCTCAAAGTCTTATTGTGATCCACCCATTGGACTGAAAACGGTTTCACAAAGTGCATCACACATGGTATCGAGGTAGGTGCAAGGCCAGGTTCAGGAATGGGAAACTCACTCTCGTCTTCGGTCTTGAGTTTCTTCTTGAGGTGCTCCATTTTGAGATCGATCTCCTTGTCTCCTTCCTTGCGTTTTTTTAGAGCCAGGGCGGAAAAACTTGAATGATGATGGGGTTTTTCATTTTCTTTTTCTTCCTTCTCTCGTACCAGAGAATATTCGTCGTGATTCGTGATTCCTGAACATCCCCATAAGAATATAATGAAAAACGTGACGACTGTCTCAGGACGAGAGTGAACGACCCTCACCGATTTTGGTGCAAATGGTCACCATATGATTGGCGATTGTCTGGCTGTCATCCACCATCATCGTTTTCACCGTCCAATCCAGCATTCGGATCTTCATTCTCCTCAGCTTCTTTCGATATTCCAGCACGTCCTGGGACAGAAAGGTACCATACTTGAAAGCAATACTCAGAGCAGATGTGGCAATTAATTCTGATATGCCAAGGACGAAGTAGCTCACCCCACCACGTAGCATGTAATAATTAAGTGTCCGAGAAGGTTCTAACCAAACGCCCTTTTTGGGATCTCCATCAGACAAGAAAAGCCCGTAGTCTTTCGCTGCAAAAAAATAAAAACTCAACTAATTTCCTATATTTGATGTGGAGAAGAGAGAAGGAAGAATGCTCCACTCACCGTCACCTAAATTTGGCACGGAATCAACGGTTTCTTCCCATATGAGTTTACAGGCATCGTAGACCTGCATGGTATCCTGGAATTCCATAATCTTAATGAAACTGTTCTCCACAAGGTTGATTGTCAGAGAGGTCGTCATGTTTTTAGATTTATTTATGATATTCCTGTGAGCCAAGTCACTGAAACGTCACGTACGGGTGATCCCTTTAGCGCCTATCTGAAAGAGAGTCAAGAAAGTTCCCTTATTTCTGTCAGTGGAGCGTCAGAGTTTCTTGCTCTTTTTATCTGCATGGTGAGAGGTAGTTCCTAAAAGAGAATTCGCGAGAGAAAATGTAACTCCATTTACTTTGTCTTCAGCGAGGCGAAAACCATACCTGGTTTCCCAGGAGGAATTTCCTACAGGGAATCAGGAAGAGGCGCGAATCCAGACGCAACGAAACAACACTAGGTCAAAGAGACAAAAGCTGCGGAGTTCAAACAGAGACACTCCCTCTAGGAAGAGGAGAGATATAATCCAGTTCCTGATAAGGCGACTCCAAGTGCAATCCCTTTCCTCCTGCTCACCCGAAGAGATAAAAGCTTCTCTATTTTCACGGTCTGATCTCCAATATCCCCTCCTGGTGTGCAGTCCTAATATAATATTGGCTCTTAACTGTGCAATAATCGCCTTCCCCAGTATAAAACGTATCGTTCTCCATAGCAAAAGAATACAACGAGGAGCATCCGGCAAGTTTTGGTAATCATTATTATTTTAATACACACTAGAACGATGAAGTTCATACGGTTTACTTTTGCACTGCGAATTGACACCTTTGGTCGAATCCCGAATGAGCATAATATTCCATTCCAGGAGTTCCGCTTTGAGGTCATAGGCATTTTCGTTGCGATTAAGAGGCTTTACCGCATAGTTATCTCCGGTTTTAAGAACAAGGCTTGTCTGGAAATTATCTTTGTACGCTCAGGAGCTGGCTTGTGGGCCTACTTCCTAACTGTGAGGTGTAGATTGGTTCAAGTACTCCTGAGCACTTGAATACGTCGCTGATAGAGAAGCATGTGAAGATGTCAGGCGAAAATATCTCGAATGGATCTGCACGTGTCGAGTTGAAAGCCTTCGTCGAAAGGAAAATAAATATTTGCTGTGGAAATCGTATCGAACGTTCCTCACAGCCTGAGAAAGAATTGCCGAGGGAGATCTGAGACATGAAGAGGACTGGCACATGAGCGATACAAGGAAAGAAGAGGACCTTCGCATGCCAACTCAATAGGAAACGAGATTATCCCCTCATGAGTGGAGTGAAGATCTATAGATAAGTACGCACACACCCTCTCTTTCTGTTTCTCTACGCTTCAAGGGCGGAAATAACATGTACAAAAAGGGAAGAAATAAAATATTTCGAAATGAGGAAGGAAATAGTAAACACGGTGAGGACTAGGTTGAATGGCAAACTAAAGGATGAATGGAAATGGAGGAAGGAACGACACAAGCAAAAATTTTTTTTTAGATGGTAAAGGAACTAAAAACAAGAAATTCACCAACACGAAAATAGATAACTCCTTCACAGGGAAGCATTCGGAAGGATGGGATTTGGTACGTCATATGCCCTCTAGACATGGAATGACTTCACCAAATATGGAATTCCGTCTCTGCGAAAGTGTTAGGAAGGAGGGCCTCATTTTTTTTTTTTAGTCCATTCTAACTTTACTGTGTAGGCCTATTTCTTTTTTTCCATCGAGTTGCCATGCCCGGGGGTTTCTGAAGAGGATACCATTCCGAAATTAAAGGTCTGGTCTTTGCTCTCGTTGTCGGTGGAGCAATTGTTGTCAGAGGTTGAATTAGTCGTTATATATTCCGGCTTTGGTATAGCCTTCAGCGCTCATACCCACCCGCACGGATGCCAGCTATCATGTTGGGTATCAGTTTGATTGGTAAGTGATTCTGCTTTCAAGTCGGAGTCCGAATCTTCTGTTCATAATATATATGTGATTGTGCAGAGTAAATGAAATTACTCGAGACCGACAGAGGGTGTAGAGGCGGTCGATCGTCTCAGCCCCATAATAGACGCACGATGGCTGCCTTCAGTCAGGGATGTCCATGGACATCCCTGACTGAAGGCAGCCATCTTCGATTTCAACTTTGGAGGTAGTCTGTCCGCAGACGCCCTCGTCGAGATGGTTCGAGCCTCCTGATAGACTAATTATAGGCTTGAAGTACAATAACGTTATCTATAGCGTTAAAATTGAGACTCAGGGCTAATGTAGGCCTAATTCTAAAAACCCTATATTGAATGCCAAGTCTGCATTTTTGGTCTGGATTGGAGGAAAGGAGCTATGGGAGAGGAGGATCACTATTCGGATTTATTTCGCAAGACATGGTTTCACCGTAACCTCGTTTGTTTCATGTTCCAGGTGACAGCCGGTCATAACTTAGGTGCGTCAAGTCCAACACAGGGCCTTGCCTAAGACGCCCTGTAATGGTAGTGATTCGCCGCATCGATTCCCTAAACAATCGTCTGTTACGATTCTCGGAGACTTCACGCAATCCCATTCCGCAATTACATTCCATGAACCTACATTCGGCGAAAGAAGCTCGTGCGACTTCAAGCAAAAACGCGCTCTCCTCACGCTTCTCACTGGTCATGGTAACCCTGCATCGAGTGCAATTTCCCAGCAAATCAAGAATACCTGCAGAGGAATGCTACCACAAAGTTCTACGAAGATGATGTCAGTGGGAAACACGGGTAAGTCATAAACTATAAACAACCTATAAAACTTGGAAACATGGATGTGGAGGGTTTCCTTGAACCTCTATAGGCGTTACTGTGGGTACTCAAGTAACTTTCGTAGAATTCGGATAAGGTCATTTTTATTTATAACGTCTATTCTTCTTATCTTTCGACGGTTCCCTGACACCCGAAGCCTAGCACAGCGTTCCTCAACTCCCGGTCTGCGCGACGAGGGGTAAATTAAGAGGTTTTTCCTTGATAATTAGTTTTTTTTGGAATAATCTTTAATTTGTCCGTATTCCCGACCTGCAACCCTTTCTACAGTGGCGGCTCGTGATATTTAGCGCTAGTGGTTCGTCCATGGAGAGGGAGTAGACAGCGCCCCCCCCCTGCCTCCATAGACGAACCACTAGCGCTAGATATCACGAGCCGCCACTGCTGCTCTACCCAGCCCGTCATCCTAGGACTGCTGCCACAATTCATGTTCAAGGAAGGAGGCAGAGAACTGCAAGGAAAAATGTGGAGTGGACGGTTGCGATGAAGCTTGTGATTGGAGCTTTGCGAGGGGCAGACTGTGCGCAGCACATTACATGATGGCGTGAAGGTTGAGATCAACTGGACGGGAAGAGTCTTTATTCTGGAGTTAAACGATCCGCTGCCAGTAGTCAGCATTTCCTAATCCATTGGATCCATAAGTCAGAGCAGGCCTGTGTTCTCTTAAGCTATCATATTGTTTGAAGGCTTGGGGAAAGACGATGCCCACTGAGCATAGAGTAGAATGTAACCAGAGGCGACACTCCGAGAGGTGGGGGGGGGGGAGGGGGAGGGAAATCGAAATCTTTTAGGACATATGGTGGCTTATTTTCAACACATCAACTGATGATGGATCGACAGTGACATCTACTGTATATTGCGACCCTGTCAATGACTGGGATTCGAGCGGAGCGTTGCCTCTAGTTACACCCTGTACTCTATGAACGTGACGCCAATGTGCGCTCTCAATACTTCTCTTGCCGATCAAGATACCGTTCCCCTTTTATTCTTCTTCACCTTTGTTCCAAGGTCTGAGCAAGTTCTACTGCGTCAAAAAATCTCAATATCCTCAATCTAAATCCTTTCTCAAGATCGAATCCCTCGAAAACTGACATTCGTAGGATTGTCTTTTTCCTGTTCCACAACGAATAAATTTTTGCACGAACGTCCGTGATTTTTGAATGATGTTGCCGACAACGCTGTTGGAATCCTTTCAGATGGGTTGAAATAACTTGTATTGTAAAAAAGGTATAGTTGCGCAGGTGAAGCAGGGTAAACAGTAAATAATGAAGGTTCGGATCGGAACCATTTCCGGTTCTGCAGTAAACATTTACGCAACCATCTTCAGGGAACCAAGCAAACATGAGAAAACTGATTCATGGAACTACTAGGATCTCATGGCTCTGACTAGGCAGATAATGAAAGCAGATAATCTGGGACATTCACACGACCACTCCAACGACGGGAGACAAAGATAGTGAAATTGTTCGAGGTAGCACAAGACATTGGCTCGTGTCGAACCCTTTCCTAAATAATTCAAGAGCCACCGCCAGTGATTCGTATGGGTCATAATATCATATAGTGAGGAAGTGAGTTTAAAACCATTTGAAATGATTGCTAGAGTACCTGGAATCTCTTTAACCTCCGTACAGCCATCTAGTCCTAACTATATATACCACGTATATATTTTAGAGTGTAAGCTACAGAAAGTATAAAAAGTATTAGTTAACCCTCTCCCGCATTAATTAAATGTGACTTTTTTGGCATATTAACTCATTTGTTTCAAAATGTGTTATTGCGACTTTAAGAATTCGTATATTCATAACTACTGAGTGGAACTCCATGTTCACTGTCACCATCACTCGATAAACCAACAATATGTCCACCCGAAGTCACACTCTCGTTATCACTATCAAAAATAGCTTCTTTATCGAGTTCCTCGCAGATTTCTTTGTCACACAGCCGGCTGCTTGACGCCATGATACTGATTCGCGGCATGCGTTGCCGATGTTTGGGGTATGTTGACAAATCCTTTACAATTTCTCACTTCAGAGTAGCACTTGTTCTCTGTTCCATTACTAATGCGTAGAGGAAAGAATGCTGAATGTGACGATTCCAAATAGTTACCAGTTTACCTCGTAGATAGAGCTGTCATGCCGTCTAAAAGTATGGGTACGCTCTACTACGTAATGTGCGAGAGGCCGATGCATTTTACGGTGCTCTACTACAGCTCTACGTACTCCCGCTCTACGTGCGAGAGAGGGTGATAATAAAACGCCTAATAAAAATAATCACAGCTCTCGAAAACTCGGGCGGATTGTCATGGGCCTCA